ATCATTTTTGTCATGACAAAAATTTTTTAACGTTCATTCGAACAAAAAACTTAATCAGAATGTTACAATTTTTGCCCAAAAAATGCCTGATACTGGAAATTCTTAATCAAAGTACTATGACATTTGAAGTTAATTAAATTATTTTTGATCAAATGGACATTCAAAACTTATTGTAATCTTCCCGTATTCCTTGAAATATTATTAAGAAATTTTGAAATCTTCTTTTAATTTCTAATAATCCTATTGAAATCTTAAGTAATCATTGAAATCTACTAAAATAACTCTGAAATCTCCTGAAATGTTTTGTAATCTGTTGAAAGATATTGTAATCTTGATTATTTATATGAAATGTGTAATCTTTTTTTAATTGATATTGAAATCTGCAGATACATTGCAAGAGATTTTAGAAATTTTGTAATCTTCGTACGTTTTTTCCTTAGCGGATCGCCCCTCGGCGTGCACATTTGTATATAGGTAAGTTAGGCTAAATAGTTTTATTTTCATCCAAGGAACCTGTGGTCAAGCGTTGTCCATCCTTTTCAAGGACACCTTATATGCATATGTATAGTGACAGTATCTTAGTGTTCGTAAATTATCAACTTTTTCCTATAATTATTGTTTTATGTTTTAAAAGTTAAAAGTAAAAAGTGAGGGAAAGTGAGACTGTCTATTTACATGTACGAATAGATATCCTGTTTTTGCAACTTTTTAAACATGAAGGAAAAATTAAAAAAAAATAATACCTAGTTGAACCTAGCTAAGTGAACATAGTTATGGTAAAAATCATGACCTAAAAAGTCAGTACTGGTAATAAAAAAAGGTATTTGTTGGTATTGTCACAAAACTCGTCATCCTAAGATGACAACCAAACAACCACGACGAAAACCTTTGCTAGAAATTGTACTATAGCTTCATAATAAGATCGTTTTGCAATAATAAACAAAAAGTTACGAAAACAATTTTTAAACCCTAATAGGATGTTTTAACTGTAGTGAGCTCTATCTGGGTGGCTGTTTCAGGAAGATACACTATATTTTTCTCTAAAACTTTATTTTTCCATAAAAGCATAAATCTTAACAACGCTTCTCTTTCGCACATAATCTAATACCTAACCTCTTTCTTCTTAACTAACCATAAGCTTAAGATAAGAAGTAAGAACTAAGAACACTGAACACTTTACTCCAGATCTCCTCTTCTTCTTCTTATTCGAATAAGTAAACCGCGCGGAATTTTTTAAATATTTCGTACGGGTTACTACATAACAAAATATTTTTTTATGAAACAATCGTATTTGTTTCTTTTTTCTGTATCTGTTTTCTAGTCATTGTAACAACTAAGACCGTAAGGGAAAATCAACAAATTGTTTACTGATTATGAATGCCTTATCGATAGCAGAAAACGTCCACTTAATTTAATTTCTATCACTTTTTTGGTATTTCAGAAAATAATTAAAAACTATTTTTTGGCACCCTTTTTGTATTGTGTATGATTTGTATTTTTGTATTGTATATGATTGTATTTATTTACACCCTGTATACCTACTTATTATACTAGTCGATTAATACTATGACGTTCGGAGGTACGTCATATTGATTATCATTCTCAATCAACTCTGACGCACCTGCGTTTGTTTCATTGTGTTGAATATACATGACGGAAATGTATAGAAAAACCCCACTTTACATGTTTCTCTCGTTACATCGAACATTTTCTACAGATAATTAAAAAAACTGGTATTAATTTCTTCCTCGAGCACATTTTTTATGCTTCCACGGGTAATATCAACGCTGGATGAAAACTAGGCCGAATCTCGAACATAAAAAGGTCTTCTTATTGTTGGTTATGTCATTTACATTCGATTCGCAAAGATTCGTCCCCGACCCGGTTGCGAGGACCTTGTTATTGAATCGATGCAGTCACCTAGCCCAGTTATACTTGACCTAACGCAACCGCAAATTTTATTGGTTCGTCGTCCATGTGGTTTGTTCCACCGAGATTTATTTTGTTCAACAATTGTAATTGTACTATACAGATGGACGCGATTATCGAATATGTACTGCGGCTGTGTCCAGATAAATTCGCTTTCCAGTGGCGTACTTAAAACATTTGAAATAGTGGCAATTCCAGTATTTTCAACGCCACCTGGTAGCAAATATTAGAAATGTCCCTGAATGAGTAATGTTTTATTTATATTATTAGTTTCATATGTTTGATATTTTGCTACATTCCCGCAAATAAGTAAAAAGACAATCTTCTTATATCACAACGAAAATTGTGTAAAATTACTCGTTTCAAACGAGACGATTGTGGCGCCCCGCTCAAGGTCGTTGTAATTTGATTTGAACAGTATCTGTAAAGTAAAGCATTGTTCGCTATATATTATAAAGTCAAAGTGATCTAGCTGATTATAGTATAAAAAAATGATTAGAACACTGGGATGTTCTTAAATTGTGTGTATTGTTTTATAAAAATCAAGTCTTCAAGTCGCCTTGAGGTTCTTATTTTTATTTCTTGTACCTACCTATGCAAAATCCTGCGTCACTGCTATACTACAGTGTAGGAAAGTACCGATGGTCTATCAGATATTACGTGAGAGCGATAAAGTAAGCCATAGAAATCCATGTGATAGACAAGGATGGCTATAATGAAGGCGCCGAATAGTCAACGCCCATTTCGCCCTTCCACAAATAAGAAGTGGATATTATTTGTGGAAGGGCGAAACGGGCGGTGACTATGAGAGGTCTTCATTATAGCCATCCTTCTCTATCGCATGGATTTCTATGGCTTACTTTATCGCTCTCACGTAACTTCAGATAGACCATCGGTACTTTTCTACCCTGTATATGCCATTAATGTTGCAAGTAATACCGAAAATGTTTTAGTAGGCATTTTGACCTTTTTATGCGTAGGTTACTCCTTAATATTTTGCAATAAAGCGAAATAATTTAGCGTCCCACTATCAAAAGCTGAATTATCAAACAATGGAACCAATAAATCTCATTCAGAATTCAAGGAAAATGCAGTAGATAATTTTTTTGAGTTTAAAATTAATTAGTTTTTTTCCAGACGAATACGCTACAAATCAGTAAGTTTCAAGGTAAATTTTTCAATAAATTACTAATGATACAATGACAAAATTACTTAAGTAAATACTACCTACTTATACTTACCCATAAATTTGATTGGACTGTAAATTCTAACCTCACCTACATTCAAATAGTTTTAGTTTAAATTAATGTAGTTTTTTATGCAAAAAACACAACTTGGCACTTACATCTTATCACTTATTAATACATATTTCAATGGAAAATCAACTATCACTTTAAAATTTACGGAATTCAGTTATTTTAAAATAATAAAACCACAAGCAAATTAGGCCGATAAATACCGCTGTATTATTGTCAACAACAGTGTTGACTGACATTTTTAAACTGTTGAAGTAATATATTATCTTTACTTAATAATAATTAATTAATTACTGTTTATTGTAAAGAAGATCCTCAGGTCACAAAGAATCAATCATAAGTTAAAAGTAGGTACCAAGAAAACATCAATTTTTTAAATTTAACATTGTTTGGCATGACTTCAAAACATGATGTTCTTATAAAGAAACAATGAAAACAGTTTATTATCTTCATATGGATCCTGAATAACATATAATAGAAATACAATAAGCTGCCATAACTACCACATAATGTAAAAAGTTCATCAGCAATCAAGCAGTTTATTAACTTTTATTACTTTAGAATCTGCTTATTTTATTACCACATTATAAGTATGTTCTATTTCCAGGATTCATTACTGTTAATTGTAATAGCTACTAACTATTTGTTTCAAGTATGAATTTGTGAAATAATAAACTGCAACCTAACGACTTTACTCGAATGTGTTTTTTTATTGCCAAATATTGCAGCAGCGGGCACTAAATGCTTTTGTATTGCAATAAAAGTAAAATACAGCAGGCAAATAACCTTTTACGAGTTTGTTTACGTACAAAAACTGCGGTCGTAAATTTGGAGAAAATAAACGAATATATCGAAAACGTAATTGTCTGAAAAAGGGGCAACAGAAGCAAAAATAAACCCGTCCCTACCGGTTACTGCCGAGGCAACAATCTACAATCAGTGTGTGTATGTGTGACGCATCAGTCTAAGAATTTTAAAATCGGAAGTGTTAAAAATAAGAAATAACTCCAAGGGGGAGGTAGATATAGTCCTGTGTGTTATTTTCTTATTATCGCGTTTCTTCTGCCTGTAAACATTCTTGTACCTCGTACTCTGAATTGCCTCGGAATCAGAAGTTTATCTCCAAATGTATGAGACAAACTATTGTTTTTGTTTCCCTTTGTTATTATTGTCGTCAATGTGTAATGTCTTTATTATCAAATTGCTTTTGTTTGTCTGGGGGATTCTTATAAAAATCGTTTCTTTATGTAAATCACGATAATACGATAAAGTGTAGTTTAATATTTTCGACTCATTGGTAAACAGTTCCTCTTCATAAATTTTATTTCAATAATTGTTTATTTAGTTTGTTGGGTACTGCTCAAATAATAATATCTTGGTGGTTTTGCAATTTACTGTTTATTTTGATAATATTTGAATCTAACTTTTATTTGTATTTGTTATCATAATCACTTTAAATTAATTCAAAATTACTGTGATTTTAAATTATAAAGTAATATTATTGTTTAATATTGTTTAGACTGCAAAAATAATTTGATTGATATTTCATGTTTACCTCATTTATGCAACACATACACACTTGCGACTTGCGACTCTACTGCCATCTAGAGGGTAGTAGAAACACGAATATAGCAAGAAAACTAAGAAAAGCTTACATTTGTGGAAAACTATAATAATTATGCTGCTACAGAAATTATGTGCCAAATACATACTTTGAAAAAGCGTTTCAAGTGCTCAATATTATTTACACATTTGTTTTATTTTAATTAGAAGACTTCAAATTTAAAATTAAAAGTGTAGCCATTACCAACTATCCAACATCCAACAGAGTAACTAAATATCCCTATACTAATGACGTTCGTCTGTCAATGTCAAAAATGGCAGGAGCTCTGGTGCGGATAACAAATTTTGCAAAAAATCAGCTCGGTAATGTATTTTATACTTCCAATATATATGGCTTATAGAGCATATTCCCTAAGAATATATCCACAAAAATTCCTGCAATCCTAACCTCACATATTTAGTTACATAATACAATTATTTGTATTTTATAGGAGCTTTTGCCCCAGTTATTAGCAATGGGCAGATCGCCCTTTATTCTGGCCCTCCTCCTGGACCACCACCACAGACAAAGACAAAATTTGGTCCTTTGACTGACGAAGACAGAGTTTTCACAAACTTATATGGCAGACACGACTGGAGGCTGAAGGGTGCTATTAAACGTGGCGATTGGTACAAAACTAAGGAAATTTTGTTGAAAGGCTCAGACTGGATAATAAGTAAGTCTCGGTTAAATGACTGTATAGGTAACAAATCCTAGTAATGTTATCTTTTTTTTTTTAGACGAACTTAAAGTGTCTGGCCTTAGAGGCAGAGGAGGGGCTGGTTTTCCCACTGGGATGAAGTGGTCCTTCATGAATAGACCTGGTGATGGACGACCCAGATATCTGGTAGTAAATGCCGACGAGGGAGAACCAGGCACTTGCAAAGACAGAGAAATTATGCGACATGATCCACATAAGCTTGTCGAAGGTTGCCTCATCGCTGGTAGGGCCATTGGAGCTAAGGCGGCATATATTTACATCAGAGGAGAATTCTATAACGAGGCATCCAATATGCAAGTTGCAATAGCTGAGGTAGGAAATGCAATATTTTTAATTTTATTTAAATATTAAAACATTAAAACCATTATTTGATAAATTCACAGAAGCGCAGAGGAATTACAGAAGTATAATACACCAAAGTAAATTAATAGAATATGTTTTGTGTTACTAATTTAACAGACATGGTAATACACCACTTTCCAGTTTTAAGTTTAGTTTAAGTTGTAAGATTTAGAAGCTGAATGTAATCTACTTCTTAAACTTATGTTTTACTGCCATATGAATTGTTTTTTATTTCCAGTATACATTAATTTTAAAAACCATTTTTTTGTAACGTCAGGCGTATCAAGCTGGGTTCTTAGGCAAGAATGCATGTGGTTCTGGCTACGATTTCGATGTGTTCATGCACAGAGGCGCCGGGGCCTATATTTGTGGTGAAGAAACAGCTCTTATTGAGTCGATCGAAGGAAAGCAGGGAAAGCCCAGATTAAAACCACCATTCCCTGCCGATGTTGGCGTTTTCGGTTGTCCCACAACTGTAAACAATGTCGAAACCATTGCTGTGTCTCCAGTAAGTTCCTCTGATGGTTTTTGTCTTTCTGTCTTATTAAGGGCTGCTCGTATATTCCTTCTTTTTTAGACAATATGTCGCAGAAGTGGTGCCTGGTTCGCTTCCTTCGGAAGAACTCGAAACTCGGGAACGAAACTCTTCAACATTTCAGGGCATGTCAACAGGCCTTGCACCGTGGAAGAAGAAATGAGCATCCCTTTGAAAGAACTTATCCAAATACACGCTGGCGATGTAAAAGGAGGATGGGATAACCTTTTAGCTATTATTCCCGGCGGTTCGTCCACACCGTTAATCCCCAAAAAGTGAGTAAATCTGTAGTACTTTTATTTAAATTTTTGCTAGAGCTCAGGTAGATGCACTCAGACCCATGGTTTCACTGCATTGTGAAGCTCATTGTCGGTAGAAAACCTTTTTCCACTCGTAAACACCTTCAGAGAAGGGAAAAGGTGAAAATCAGAACAAGCACACTCCCTTCGTTAACATTCCCCATCCATTGTGCATGCCGCCATTAAGAGTTATTTTAAAACAGACCCATGCTTCTTGCAAAGACAAGCATAGCACTAATGGAATCTTTCTAATGTTCAGGGATTGCATGTATTTATCGTTTTATCAAGAAGAAGACAAAATGATAGAGGATTCATATCAAATGCACTTCTTCATGTTCACATAATCTGCATCTCACTTTGGCATTCAGACCAATTGTAATGAGGTGTTTGTTTAGATTTCCATGACCCGTTAAAAGTCCTGTGACGATCCTACTGCTGTTTTTGCTGCGCAAACTCCTGAGACGGTGTTACACTTTATATTCCCATATTTTGTCGATAGTTTTACAGATATTCTTATTATTTATTTTTATATTGAAACTGAGGTATATTTATTTCAATTTATACCATTTTACACTATTAAAGTGAGATGAATTTTGTAATGTAACATTATTTATGGAAAGCGGTACACATTATAAGTATGTTTAGTATACTTGTTATACAGAATTAATTATTTGCTGCGTAGAAATTGATTTTATAGTTGCTCACCTCTGCCTGGGCTCTAGTTATACAGGGTGTTTTTAAATGAAGTAGCAAAAATGGTACCAGTGAATGTAGAGCCAAAAATAAGAGGATTGAAGTAAAAATACCTTATATGAAAGCTGCACCCCTGAGGCGATATACCCTCTTAAAGGAGGGGATTGAAATTCAAATTTTAATTATTTTCTTTAACATGACGAATGCTAGAGACACGAAACTTGATATTAGCATCTTTTTCAATATTTGTTCGATCATTGGCGTATTTTATAAAGGAGTGAAACAGTCAACCCCATTGCAATTTTTTATTAGAAATTTTTTATATGAAGCAAATTATTTATTTAAAAATATTTATTGGGAAGACTGATTTATTGCGCATCTTTTTTACCTCCTGTAATTTTTCGACAAAACCGATAGTTTTCTAGTAAAAAAAAATAGATGCGTCATCGTTCACTAAAGGGGTAATTGCGAAAATTTGTAAAAATGAAGTAGGCGGATGTCATAACAAATAAATTGTTATTTATTATATTAATAAATTGACATTTTCTGTCAATAAGCTGGTAATTTAATAATAACATTAAGAATAATTTGCTATTAATTAATGAAAAATGTTTGATAACTTATGACTATGGGACATGTATTAAGTAAAATTATTTATCTGAAATAAAATTTAATACAAATGAAAAACAAGAAATGGAAAATTAAATTTAAAGAATATTCTTGAAATAATTTCCATTTTGCTGCAAGCATAACCTAATACGTCTGTTGAAAGTATAACGCACTCCCACAAACAGTTCTTGGTTATTGTGAAGGTCATCTGCTGCCTGAAATATTCTTAAGCGTAGTTCTTCTAAGGAGGCAACAGGAGTGGCATAAACAATACTTTTTATGTGTCCCCACAAAAAGAAATCCATAGGCGTTAGGTCAGGTGAACGTGCAGGCCAACAAACAGGGGCATCACGACCACGACCAATCCAGCGATTCGGGTAATTTAAATTTAACCATTCTCTAACGGCAAGTGTACTATGTGCAGGCGCCCCATCGTGCATATACCACATCACCTGACGTGTAGCGAGGGGTACATCCTCAAGTAATGTTGGAAGATTTTCGTTCAAAAATCTAAGATACTCGGCCGCTCCAAGCCTGTGTGGAAGAATAAAAGGACCTACTAGAGTATTTCCTACAATTCCCATCCAAACGTTTAAACTGAAATTATGTTGACATCTTGAAACAAATATTTCATGAGTATTTTCTTCCGACCATGAATGAACATTATGAAGGTTTACTGCACCTACTCTAGGAAAATTTGCTTCATCGGTGAAAAGTATATTCATTAGGAAATTTAAGTCATGCCTGGAAATATTAATGTACCATTGACAAAAATCCACGCGGTTAGGTAAATCAGGGTCATTCAATTCTTGCACGGGTTGATGGTGAAAAGGGTATAAAAGATTTTCATGAGCTACATTCCACACAAGACTGTGAGAAACTTGCAGTTGCCTGGACACCTGTCTTGTGCTTGTACCACAGTCTTGTTCTAGATGTTCCAGTATAGCTTCCTCAGTTTCAACAGTTCGGACATTACGCCTTCTTCCGGCACCCTCACGATTGGGCTGAATTTTACCAGTTTCGCGAAGCCTTCTTTCCACCGAGGCCAATGTTTGTCTATGAGGAATCGGTCGGTTTGGATATCTTTGGTGGTATAATCTTACTGCAGCGTTACTATTTTTTCTGGATTCGAAAAACACTTGGAGCATGTCGACATATTCGTCATTGGTATAAATATTATTTGCCATAATTATTCTGATAATAAATTAATCAATTGGTACTAATTATTGGTTGACAGAAAGTGTCAATTTATTAATATGATAAATAACAATTTATTTGTTATGACATCCGCCTACTTTATTTTTACAAATTTTCGCAATTACCCCTTTAGTGAACGATGACGCATCTAATTTTTTTACTAGAAAACTATCGGTTTTATCGAAAAATTACAAGAGGTAAAAAAGTTGCGCAATAAATCAGTCTTCCCAATAAATATTTTTAAATAAATAATTTACTTCATATAAAAAATTTCTAATAAAATATTGCAATGGGGTTGACTGTTTCACTCCTTTATAAAATATGCCAATGATCGAACAAATATTGAAAAGTTGTCTTTATTAGAAAAAAAATAAAATGTGAATTTCAATCCCCTCCTTTAAGAGGGTATATCGCCTTATCTTTCATTTAAAGTTATTTTTACTTCAATCCTCTTATTTTTGGCCCTACATTCACTGGTACCATTTTTGCTACTTCATTTAAAAACACCCTGTATTTGTACTGCAACTGCTATCACCACTTCATTTTTCCGCTCAGGGTTTGCGAGGATGCCATAATGGATTTCGACGGACTTGTAGCTTGCCAGACCAGTTTAGGTACAGCCGCCATCATCGTCATGGACAAAAGCACCGATATCGTCAGAGCAATCGCCAGATTGATCATGTTCTACAAACACGAGTCTTGCGGGCAATGTACTCCCTGCAGGGAAGGTAAGCGAATGCAAAGCACGTCTGATTTGTTTATTTAGCCACAAATTTCTATTTTTCCGATAATTGTCACGTTTGGTTATTCTAGGTGTCAACTGGATGAACAAAATAATATACAGATTCGTTGATGGAAACGCTAAACCCGAAGAAATTGATATGCTGTGGGAAATAAGCAAGCAAGTTGAAGGCCACTCCATCTGCGCTTTGGCTGATGGCGCTGCGTGGCCCGTTCAAGGTCTTATTAGGCATTTCAGGCCTGAACTGGAAGAGAGGATGAAGAAACATCAAGGGAAGGAGAGAGCATCGTGTTGATCAATAAAATAATTTATAATATGAACTGTTAACTTGACCTATTGTGATTTTACGATTTTCTAGTAAATGAGAAACTAGGTATAATTAAAGAATGGTTTTTAAAAGTTTTTATTTTAAATAAATTAATTTTGTTGTATAATGCTTTTCACAGTACCTAACTAGTTTTGCAATGGTTTGTTCCCAACATAGAAAAATTAGTTAAATTTTGGCAAAATTATGCGTTAACTAGTAATGAGCATTATTAATTTTGAAATAGCATTTATTACTTGTTATATTTAAACAATTTTGTGAATATTTGTTTCCTGTATATAAAATTTTAAATAAAAATGTATGGGTCAAATGTTTTTTTAAATAAAATATTGAAATCGGACATCTTGTACAGATTAATATTGATACGAGAGATCTTTAAATGTATCAAATATATTTTATTGGAACACTACACCTACTCTTTATGTAAACCGGGTTATAGACGGTTTTTGGTGTAAACTTGGCTTTATTGACCGCTCACTTAAGCCACCTGACGGTTATATATCTGTCATTTGCTTCCAAATCCAAACGCAAACATAACCTAAAAATTTATGAAATATTTTTGATAACCATCGGCGTCTATACTTTAAAAATGGCTAATGGTGGTGAAGACTTGAGAAATGAGGTTCAAAGCCTTTCTTCTCTGTTTAAAGACGGCTTGGATAACTATAATAGTATAATGAACAATGATCAGCCTACGAATAACCCTGATGTACAGGTAATTATAGAACAACGTTCCGGTTATTGATAGTTGGTTAAGATGTAAGTACTGAATTTACATATTTATTTAGATGAATATCAAGAAAACTATGAAGACATTCGAACAAGCTACCCGATTAGTATCCCTCACAGATATTTTCAGCAAAAATGAGGGAATAGAGGAAGTAGCCACGAATGATCTCCAATATTTTCTCTTGCCAGCTTTTCTAGGAGGCCTTAGTCTAAAACTGACTTCTGGTGAGCGGAAAGATATTGTTGATTGCGCAGAGATTTACTACAAAGACTTTCTTGGCCGGTGTAACAATTACGGTTTAAGTAACTATCAGTTCGGCGACAAAGAAAACAATACAAATGATTCGCCGAAAAGGGAAAAAAGTGAGTTTGAGCAGCTGGAAATGGCTGTAAACACTAGAGCAAATAAAATACAAAGGTAAACATATTCATCATTATTGTCTTCTGTAGGGTCGAAAGAGAATTTTTAATGTACGTAGCTGTCGTTACTGGACCATTTTGTTAGTAAATATAATTTTTATGTAGATTTAAAGAACAAAAAGAATTGAAATCGAGACTGCAGGATCTGAAGAAGAATATGGAAAACGAATATGTGGATGAAGAGATAAAAAGAAACTATTTTCTTACTATGATCAAATTATTTATTCATGAAGCCATCGATGAACTAAATAGCATAGACATGGAGAAACCGATTTTGGAACATATCGCAAATATGAAAAAAGATGACAAACCACAACCTAAACGACCACCTCCACCACCTTTGAAACCAATAATTATAACAAAAGATGAAGTTCAGAAAGCCGTCTATGGAGCAGGATATCCTTCGTTGCCAACAATGACGGTAAAGTATATTTCTTTTGTATACTCGATGTTTTGTAAACTATACATTTTTGGTAATTTTTGTTTATAGGTGCAAGAATTTTATGACAAGAGAGTTGAGGAAGGCATCTTTCCGGATCCGAATAAAAAGAAAACCGGTCCATTGAGTCTACAAGAAGCTGCCCTTGCAGGAGTTTCACTTGACGATGATAAAGAAGAAGAAGCTAAGGAAAATCTAGTGGAAGAGGATGATGAAGAATATATCGCTCGTATGCGGGCAAAAGATGAATATAAAGATGATCACAGAAGAGGCTGGGGCAACAGAATGAATAGGAGTTAGATTTAGGGTAGTTTGCTTGGTTTGATGCACTAACACTGACTGTTTTTTCTTTCTCGATGTAAATAGATATATATCTAAGAGGGTTCTTAACGTGCTGTGTATGATTTTCTAAATAATTCTCACTATTTCTACATTTTAAAAATAAAAAATTTTAATTTATCGTACCTACTTTATTTTGTTAAATTTTTTGTTGTTGTCCCCACAGATTCCTGGACAAATTTATCGCACCACTAAATAATTTTTGTTTTAATCTTTTTTTTTAATATAGATTCATAGAGATTTCAGGTTCGCCATCCCTATATTAATTTTTTATTTCACAAATTTCATTTGAAATTTTTTCATTTAATTATCAAAATGTTGCCACTGTTTATTTTAAACAGGTATACACATACGTTTTATGTGAGCAAATAAATGCAATTTCCTTTTTCTCGAAAATGGTACATGCTACAATATTTCGACAAGTAAACCTTTTTTTTGTAGTATGCTTTAGAGTTTACAAAACCGTTTAGAAATATAACAAATTTTTACTTCTAACATTTTTTTTTCTATTGTACCCCTCCAATTACGTGAATAGGCGACACTGCTTTCAAATTTTGACATTTTTATTTTTAACAGATTTAAAGATAATTAAGTAAATCCATTTGGAAAGTAACAACTTCAACAAATTGTATCTTAAAAACAGGGTGTGTAAGAAGACGGAACACCCTGTATGTATGTAGAAACCACAGACTTCTAAGTATATGAGAAGTCTGAGGTAGAAACAAATGTTTCTAGGCAACCATATATACAACAATGTAAATTGTAAGTTGTAGTACTATTACAGTAATATATTGAAACGGATAATTTAAAAACTATTTACAAAATATTAATTTTTAGTAGTATTTAAAATGTTATTGAAGTTTTTAGCTTGCTTCTAATAGAGCTGATACCTTTGTCGAAACTCGAGTAAAATCAAAAATAGAATGTAATTTGGCAGTAAGGCGCAAATATTTTATGACGTCATTTTTGCCAATTTGAGGCAGATGTGCTGCACATGTCGGAATAAATTCCCAACATAGAAAAAATAATTGTTAATATTCCATTTTCTATGATTCCCAATGACTGTTCCCAGAAACAAACAGGACCTCAAGGCAGTGAAAAAATGTTCTTTCAGCAGCATATTTGGTAGATTTCTGTGAAGTGGGGTTTCCCGTCCAAGGTTATCGCAGCGACCGATATCAAGGAAACGACGCAAAGACTCCGCTGTTTTGGACTGGACGGGAAAGTGTACTATTTATGACGTCATTAGAGGCGCGTCATTCCATATGATTTCTTGGTTGATTCTGATCTGATTAAATTATGAGCTTTCACAAGAAAGACGAGAAGAGAAGCTATCGGTTATGACGAATACAGTGGTTAAATATGATCTAATTAAATAATTAGTACGTAGTGGCGATATTTTCGTTGAATATGTTAGGAAGGACTTTGATTTTTATTAAAAAGTGAACCAGTTTTGTGCAAATTGTTATTGTGAGGCCAATTTTGGATTAGACTGAACATATTTATTTACTTATAACACAGTACCATGGGATTACTATTTGCAAAAATTTGGAGCCTATTTGGCAATGAAGGTAATAAATGTATGTATTACAATTTATAGGTTATACAAAAAAAATTTTTATTTTTAGAACATAAGATTGTTATTGTGGGCTTGGACAATGCTGGCAAGACAACTATATTGTACCAGTTTTTGATGAATGAGGTTGTACATACTAGTCCTACGATAGGTTCGAATGTGGAAGAAGTTGTGTGGCGGAATATTCACTTTATTATGTGGGACTTAGGAGGGCAGCAGTCTTTACGAGCAGCTTGGAGTACTTATTACACCAATACAGAAGTAAGCTTCTTATTGTACTAATATATCAGTTTAAGTTCATTAATTTGCATAGATTTACCTATATTATTCGGTGTTCTTTGTTTGTGAAGCGTAATTAAATAATTAAATTAATACGAAGGCATCTACCCATAAAGAGGGCACATCATTGTGTAGGTTTACTTTCATTAAGGAATGTGTTACATGTGGTTTCTCCTTCTGCTATTAATATGCAACGCTAGTATACATGATACCACAAAAAATATAAACATTGTTATTATATTAGTTTAATACATCACAGAAAGGGGATTTAATTATTTTGTGGATGTTACCTATAATTTCTTTCTCTATTTTTAGGTAAATTTATTTATTTTTATAACAGATAGGTAGATGTTTTTATGTTTGGCAATTCCTTTACAAATTTATGTAGAATAAATGTCAGTGTTATTCAATAAAGCCAAAGAAAAGATAGCAAAACATCATTAGAATAATAAATGATTGATACATGTTTATTTTTAATACCTTAAAAGCTACACTTTAATTAATGTTGTCACTGATATTAATAGGGAATTATGAGTACATACAAAACAAAAATACAAAGTCAGTTTGTCAATATTGACAAATTGATGTGTTCATTTCATTGTACATAACTCCTTGTTTTCATGCCAAAATTGCAAAATCAGAAATAATTTACTTCATCTTCCATTGTAACTACATATAAATGCTAAAGAATTACGTAATATTTAATATACAGAAACCAAATTTATTTAAGATAATGTTTACATAGTATTTTATAGTTTCCAAGTTAAACGTATGTAAATTTCCAAAATATAAACAAATATTTTGAACAACAATAATGTGGGTACAAAAACATATCTTTTGTGGTATCCGCATGATTAAAAACATTTTATGAGGTGGTATCTTGGGATTTCTTTATTGTTTAATGTGTGTATTATATTTAAAACAAAACTAGAAAATATGCACCATCGATATTCGCCACCGTAGCGCAGTCGGTCGAGAGTGCGGTGACAAGCATTTCTCGGCTAGACTTCCTACTCTGGTCCGGGTTCGATCCCCGGTATCGGCACTGGCCATGTCGATGGATAATGGGTGTTTGTCCGCATTTTTTCAAGTGTAGCCCCCTTCCGCACAAGCCTTTGGCTTTGGATTAGGGGGTTGTCTCATTTCTGTGGTGTGTTTTATGTTATATGTTACAAAATATGAACTAAAAAAATAGTTGTTAGTCGTGAACAAAGGCAACTACAGCCAGGCTTTGTTGATTATGCTTTTATCTACCCACTAAACATATTTTTAATTGGCAGTTAAGATAATAATAGAAGTAATGCTCCTTAACAAATTGTACAACAAACGACAAAAGCTGCGGTTAACTTTAGTGTATTAATTTCTATCTTGATCAATTAATTATACGATGGTCAACAAATTTCTTGATAGGATCTTGTAATGATCACCACAAAATTAATTATAAACATCAGTTAGTTCTGTTAAATAATCCTCAATGAAAAAAAAATGTGCAGAGTTGCAACTTTGCTGCCGATTTTTTAGTCATTTCTTGTAAAAATAGAATATCATTGAGAGAAATATTCAGTTAATAGATCACGAAGTTATTTGCATTTTATTTTTGTTGTTCAAGGTCTGTATTGGATTGACTAGATCGATTATAAGTTTGAAACCATTTATGTAAACTACGTCTTTTAAAACTCAAATGAAACAGTAAATGCAGATGTAAATTAAAATAATATCAGGAATGTGACCTCAGCCTTACTATTTCCTTAATTAAAACGCCTGGAAATGGTAACTTAGTTTCATTGTTATTATCTGAGCTGTGAGAATTTTTTTATATTGAATTGATACTTGCAATCATCTTTTCAATTACTTTGCACTTACTGTTGCGTTAAGTAAATAGAACAGCCAATTTAAATAAACCAGTCTTCATAAGAAATTCAATTCATATTTTCATTTTTTTTTAGATTATTGTGGTAATATAATGAATTTGTAGACTTACAGAATGACTGATGTACTAAATTAAATATTTGTAAATATGTTGTGTCACATCTAATCTTTATTTTTATGAGAATGAGATTTTTAACTTTGTGCTGACAGATTCTTGGTACTTTCAAACTGTTTCCATGAATAATGAATCAGTTTGTGATTTGGGTAACACAAAGAAATTATTATCTTTTTGTTTCTAGTAAAAAAATGTCATAAATAATGTGTTTCCCATTATTTCTATTCAAACGTCATACAACCTAGTTTACAAAAGCATTTCAACATCTCGTTTATCACAATTATTAAATATTTACTGACTTACCTACGAAATAATTTGTTTTAAACTTTAAACTAGTTGGAAGTCATTAAAAGTTAAAAGTATACATAACATTTTATTAAATTTAGATCAGTAAGGCTCCGTTTTTTGAAGATTAGAACATCGAATCCAGTTTTAATGAGTTTTACTTTCTACACTTTTTACAGGAAGAAATTATGAAAACGTTACATAAAATTGAGTTAATTAAGACATTAAATATTACAACAAAAGTGAAAGGAAAAAAATTGTTGAATATTCTTTTCTCTTCTCATTATTTTTTTTCTGTAATTATTGCAATGGATCCATTACTTTTTCTTGCCTGCAACATCCAATTTTATTATTTGCCAAATTCCTAATATTTGAAATTCTAATGTCTGGTTAATGTGCATAAATGTTTGCACTATCTAGCATATCCTTTATATGCAAGTGTTAAGTGAAGAATGACAAGATATTTCACTTGATGATACTTACTGAATAATAATAAATATTTTAATTAAAAAGTAAACAAAAGTCACGTATCAGTGCTATGCATTTCTAAATTATGCACATGTGGAATTAAAACAATAACATTGCTAAATACTGTCAAGGTTTCATATTTATTTGTATTGAAAATATTTCGAGTAGAAATTTATTTATACAGAGTGTCTTGAAAAATAGTGTCATAAGTGTCTAAAAGTAATTGGTTCTTTAAATTGCATCTTGCTTGAAAATAGTGCACTTTAAGCGATTTCGAGTACTTTTTTGTCTATCTATATTCGTCTGTTTCAGTTTGTTATAGTGGTAGTAGACTCAACGGACAGGGAAAGGCTGTCCATGATACGAGAGGAACTGTACAAAATGTTGGCCCACGAAGAGCTATCGAAAGCGGGCGTCTTAGTGTACGCGAACAAACAGGACGTCAAGGGTTCGATGAGTGCCTCGGAGATATCGAAAGAACTAGACCTAACCTCGATCAAGCAGCAGCAGTGGCACATACAGTCTTGCTGCGCGTTAACAGGCGAAGGGTGAGTGTAGTCGTTATTTTCCATAAGAGTTCGAAGAATGTCACAAACTACCTCATGTCATATTTGAAGTAATTTAGTTTGAGTGCATTCGACAAAGATTTAATTATTGTGAGATTAAAGATAAATTTTTCTATCCTATCAAATACTGCAAGTTATTTCAATTGATCTAAATAAATAACGAATTATTGAATATTCCTGCTAAAACTTTTTTAATTGTTAGTGTTTTCCAATTTTTTTTTAATTTGTTAAAAAATTAGTACCCAAATGCAACAAAATCTACACTTTGTGTAAACTAAACAGATCTTTGTCCCCAAGAGTTTATTTTGTGATTAGGTGATTGATACTATAAAAACAAAGTATTTTATTGCTTTGTTAAATTGTATTAGGTAATTAAAATATAACAAATTGATTATTTCCTTTATTTGTGTTATCTACCTAATTAATTTAGCTTTCGAGTTAGATTAACTCTACCAAGGTTATTATTATCTACTTAGAATAGGACTTCGAATAGTTTTAGTAAGTTATATTTTGTACCCGTTTATATTAATTTTACCAATTTGTAACAATGTGTTAATTATTCAAACTGTTAGGAATTCGTGTAGCTTCCAATGAGGCAAGGCAGAAATTGGATTCGTTAAAGTGTTAATAGGTTGACACAATATGCGCTTTGTATTGAAATACGCAAATTGTCAACATTTAAAGTAACAATTAAAATGAATTCGAATATATTAACAAAATCGGTTCCTCGATTGAGTTATTGTATCACTGGTACATTTGTATATAGCAATAATCAGGTATTCGTTATGGTAAATCAACTATGACAATTTTTTCAACACAAAATTGCACTTTCTACTTCCTTGGGTTGATTGGGTAATAAATTGAAAGTGATAGTAATACCATGTTGTGGTGTAGTGTTACTTAGAATTACATGTCCGTGTACATAAAATCTGTTTTACCACTTTTTCTGGTTGTGTGTTAGTTATTTATAACGTAACATCAAATTTGCAACTTCATCTTTAAACTATACAGGGTGTCGCTTTGAGTGAGGATCTTATTTATTTGGAAACTACTTACCTTTGACTTTTAGAAACACATCATATAAGTTTCTTTTCTCAAAACCTGTCATAAAAACTGAATATGTTTTCTTAAACTTTTTTTATCATAATTTTCGTTCCCCACCACTGGACAGGTTAGTGTAACTCAACCAACAATCTCGTCTCTCTTGATTTATATACGTATTTAACAATGAAGACACACAAACACACCGTATCATCACTGAACACTGAAATAAATAACTGCATAAGGTTATACACTGGCACTACTCAAGACACTTCAGTAAATACTACTGTAAAATTAAACTTAATAAAACACAACACTACACTATACAAAATCTATTTTGATTCAAGTCAAAACTAAAGCCCAGAAACTCGTACAAAGCCCTTCTTGTAAACCTGTATATGATATCAGATCAGTTGGATTAATATTATATAGTTAGCCTAAACTAAGTCATTGTCAGAGTTTATTGACACTTGAGATTCACAAACTAAACACAGTGCTTCAAAAAAATAATAAAATGTTTTATTTAAAATTTGAATGGCGACATTGAAATAATATGCTGCAAAATCATTTACTTTGTTTTTAGGAAATTATGTTCCATTGCAATTTCATGTGTAGAGGTCTTTTAATATCTCATGAGCCGCGAAATGCGCGAAAGGCGTGGCGTATCCCCATAATTCTTCTAATAAGCACATTGTGAAAACATTGACTCAGAACTAGACCATGTGCATCATTACAAGTAGAAATGAACTAAGGCGCTCGGGCATCAATAAAGTCAATTGGCGAACGTTCGTTATATATATATATATTTTGTTTAAAGAATAGGGCATTATATTATGATATTTGTAATCGGATCAAAGGCTAGAGCTCGAGAAAGACTGTGAATAATAGGTGTAATGTTTTTAGGACGTAGAATAATTTAGGCGACGGTCGGAATTATGTTTCTGCGCATATGAAGGTCAAAGCTCATAAGATTTTAAAACATCTCTAACATTGAGACTCAAATTCACAAACTAAACACAGTGCTTAAAAAAATAATACTTAACACAAATGCTTTCTATTAAAAACTTTAAAAAATATTGCAGATGCATACAGTGTGTCTACTTGTATTAATTTACAAATTCGTAAAAACTTTATTCTTTAGGATAATTCAACATTTTTTAAATTTTAAATGACATTGGAAACCGCTTCTTCTGATCTTTCCATGGCTTTTAAAATGGCGATCCAAGGCCTGCTATGATTTTCTTTATACCCCTGAATTTCAATAAAAACACTATCCAGCGTTTTTTTTATTTAAAATCTGATAAGGTGGTGGTAATCAGGACCCTGTCAAATTTGAAAAAAAAATCCTAACGGCATTTAAGATGGCTATTACTGCTATGTTTTTTTATATCATCGCAATTTAATAGTTTTTACGGATCTGTACACATTTAAAACTTTGAGATCACGTAGAAGAAAACACTCTGTATAGTTTTGGTTCAAATCTCACACCTAAGGGTTTTGAGGGGGTCCTGGTTCAAACCGCCTTGTCACATTTTAAATAAAAAATTGCTTTGCTAGGTCTATACATATATTAAAATTCGGGGGTATAAAGAAAATGATAGCAGGCCTTGGATCGCCATTTTAAAAGCTGTGGAAGGATCAGAAGAAGCGGTTTTCGATGAAATTTAAAGAAAAATTGTTTGAATTATTTTGAAGATTGAAGAATAAAGTTTTTATGGATTTGTACACCCACTGTATATCAGATTAGTACTTTTATTCATTTTTTATTGTATGCGTTTTATAAAACAGCAAAAATTAGAACAATTTTACTTACAATGAGTAACATATGCCTGTCCACATACCAGTATTAGTTGATATTTAATAAATAATGCAAAATAATATAAATTTTTTAAAAACACTTAATCTCAAAATTTGGTGACTTTAAATTATGCTGTCCTAAAGTCATTCAGTTTTCATTCTTCTAATTTCATACTGTTGGTTTAAAACAGAACACTGATAAGCGTGCTGATAGAACTGAGTTTGTGTGTTCTCCAGTGCTGGCGTGAACAAGAATTGTAAATGCAACTATTTAAAAAACGAATTACAGGGTGATTCACAAATGGTGACCAAAAATGAAACCTCATATTCTTTGGTGAATTTTAAGGGGAGTCTTTCCTATAAAGTTTTTATCTAGGACGCTTCGTTAAAAAGATACAGGGTGTTAAACTTAAAAAATATTTTTAATTTTATTAAATAATTTAAAAACTAGTAAGTGATATAATTTGAAATTTGGAACATTTATTTATATAAACATTTTTGAAAATCTTAGAGCTATTCCTAAAATTTACATGCTCCAGTGGCGGAGATAGAGGGTACTGGTGGCATATTTTTCTAAATAAAATAGTACGCCACTGCTTTACGATAACAACTGTGATATTTTCAAATTCCTCTTTCAATTTTCTACAAATTACTACTCTCTTATGTTTTTCGAAAAAAGTCTGATTTTCGAGTGAAACTTAAAAACCAACTGAAAACACTATTACTTAAATGACATGACGAGCACTAATCATTCAGTTATTTATTCGAATAAAGAAATTAATAACATTAGTCATCATTTTAATGATTTAATTTGAGTAAATGCTGAAAATACCTCCATTTATACGAACACAGTCCGGATATCTTTTTAGTAACAAAAATATAATTTGTTCGAAATTTATTGTTGCTTGAATCTGATGAAAAACATTATTTATTCTTTCTTCTAACTGCTCAGAATATCAAAGTTGCTATCGCAGCCCACTATGTAATTTTAAAAAGCATTATATTCGAATATCAAAGTGTGTTCTCAGTTCATTTTTTAAGTTTTACTCGAAAATCAGACTTTTCGAAAAACATAGGAGTAGTAATTTGTAGAAAATTGAAAGACGAATCCGAAAATATCATGGTTGTTATAGTCTTTCCCAAGTCAGTTGAACATGTAAAAAAACGCCTGGCAATAAAATTTAATGAGTTTCATAGACGTCCCTAAAAAAGTTTTCTGCTAAAAGTATATAATTGCAGAAAATTTATATTATATGTTCATTCGGCAAACAACATATTTTAATTATTTATGTTCTCAAACAATTTTATTATGTTGATGGTAAATTTCATTTTGTTCCGTTTCAAAAGGTCTGCAAAATGCCATGTTGTAATAATATTATTTCTCCCTTTCGCTATTGTAATATCAATGATTAATAGAAGGTGCCTATAATAAATTAAAATTATCTGAACCACAGCAAATTCCACATTGCTGCACTGCACTGCCGGGCAATTTGTCAGCCACTTGTCAACGGCTGAGATTTATTGCCCAGTGGCCAATGCAGCTGTGCAGATTTGTGTTTCGTTTGCCCGCACTCGCATTCTTCAACTGGGCGTATACATTTCTACCACTTCCACGTTTAGTTCGACCAAACCTGTATATGGGTATGGCTAAATAAATATGGGAACAAGTTTTCCAAATATTTCAATGCCGAGTTGCTGCGTCAGCGACCGAACCTGGTGCATACTGTTATATTGGAAAAACTATACCGTAAAGCAGTGGCATACTATTTTATTTAGAAAAATATGCCACTGATACCCTGTATGAGGCATGTAAATTTTAGGAAAAGCCCTCAGATCTAGACAATGTTTACATAAATACATGTGCCCAATTAAAAAAAAAATTTAAATATTTTTTGAAGTGTAACACCCTGTATCTTTTTAACGAAGCCATCCTAGATAAAAACTTTATAGGAAAGACTCCCCTTAAAATTCACCAAAATATATGAGGTTTCATTTTTGGTCAACATTTGTGAATTTGTGAACAACTCGACTACTTATTTATTGGATTAAAAAAAAAAGAAATTCAGATTCCTATTTAGGCAAACACATACTATTACCACTAAAAAACTGATCTCTCACTTAAAGTTACTCCAAACGGAATAGGGTGAATTATTCCAAAGCTGCCATTGGATAAAACCGAGGATAAAACATTTTTTATCTAGTTTTTTATACACAGAGTGAGAATTACGAGTATAAGTGACGTTAACGATTTGTTTGTTTCAGGTTGTATCAGGGGTTGGAGTGGATAGTGAGTAGGCTAAAGAAAAAATGACAGCATTCTTACTTTAGTTAGAATTTAGTCTTTCATAATTTTTATTAAGAACGATTGTAATATATGAAAAAACATGGTTTAACACTGTTGAGGATTGTTTCTCATATTGAGAAAGAAAACTTTTGCGAAATTCTCCTTCCATGTGACTGTCAGAGCATTTTCATGTCTCGTATTTAATGCATACCAAGGTGTCTTTATTAATAATTTTTAATACGAAGCTGTGGGAATTTTTAATTATACATCATTTTTATTAATTCACTAAAATAATGATAGTGTTTATACATTTTTTTTTTCTTCATATTCAACATTGGGTAGGTTTAGACACCTTTGTGGTTTTCGTATATTTCACACTAATTTTTAAAATCTTGTACCTAATATTACATTTTAAGTTTGTTTTTTTTTAATTTTAGGTGGAATATGTATAAAGATGAAATTTAAATTAATAAATTGTATATAAATACCAGTTTCCTGTAATTTTATTCATAAATCAGTGACTAATGTCCTTGGATTAATATTCTACCTCAGTTCTGTAAAGTAACTATTTTTGATGATCAGATTTAATCCGGAATACGTTTTTCACGTGACATACGATAATTTTTTTTTATACAGGGTGTCTTCAAAAGATTGAAAAATCTAGAAACTAAAAATATAACAAAAATGTCAATTGAATGCAAATATTGATATTTAAAAAAATACAGGGTGTCGAAAGTTACTCTATTATTTACAATTTTTTTTTAATTTCTAGGATTTTTTAGGTTTTATCTAAAATTCAGTATGTAGGGGTTTTTTGTTATGAGAAATATGAATCTGCTAAATATTGATATTTAAAAAGATACAGGGTGTCAAAGCTATTCTTATTTACAATTTTTTTTATTTCTGGAGATTTTTTTTTTTGGTTTTAGCTAAAATATTCAGTATGTGGGGGTTTTTTGGTATGAGAAATATGAATCTGCCTTAAAAACTTTCTGGCTTGATAAAAAAAAAAAATTCTATGCTACAAAATTCTTCGAATCTGTTCGTCAAACTTTGGAAGCAATCAGAAGAGACGTTTCGGAACCATCTTTGAATTAGTCTGTTTCGTAATAATCGCGGTTGAAATTTTGCAAAGAATTAACGGGCTTGGGAAATTGTTCGTTGGTCAGCTTCTTGGTAAATCGCCCATAACTTTTATAGTTCTTGGATTATCAAGATAACATTCATACTCGTCATTCCAAACTTGGAGAATATGTTTTCCACTTTCAGGAGTTTTAAGGCATTTAAATTTAAGCATAAGGAAAATTTACATAATTATGAAATGTTAAAGTGTCAAACAAAATTTAAAAGGTATAGAAATCTGAGAAAAACGCGTAAAGGGTAAAAATAAAAGTATTTTTAGTGAAAAAGAATACGTGTCGTCGGGGCGAGCGTTCGCTGGAGAGTCGTCTTGGTGTGGAGTCGTTCGCAAGTTTAAGCATCTGGTCCTTGGCGCCAATCTGCTGTGGTCCTTTTCCGGGAACCATATCCCCCATTGCACATTGTTTCTTGTCGCTTGCAACGAGTAGACCGGTCCGGACAGCGTCAGGCTGGCGGTCTTGATGTAATACTTAAATATGGGTCACTTGCAGACATGTGTACCCACAGGGTGCTGAATAAAACCAAGTTGTCATATTTTCCATATAGCATATACCACCATATATTTATAAAAAGTAATCCTCGATATTATAGCTAAATCTAAACATCCTGTATATGAAAGTAAAATAATAGTAAGTAATGTTAGGAAATGATAATTTTTAAGAAAAATTTTTCTCGTCATACTTTTTTAACGTTCTAAAAAGCATCAAAGGTACAGAAACAAACAAAATCAGGTTTAGACTATACCGAGAGAGAACAACAGTTGCTACACTATTTTTTTGAGAGTTTTCTAATATAAGTCAATGGAAATATATGAAAGTAACTTTGTAGAATAAAGAAAGATTTACCTTTGAATTTCTTCATTAAGTGATATTGGATAAGTCAAAAACTTCTTTATTTATTCTCCTTCCTTGGGATTTTAAAATCTTCATGAAATTTCTCTTACTTTTTGAAACATTATTAATTTGTAATCAAATGAGTTGGAAATTCTACTAAAACTAAACATTTTTCTCGGTATGTCGGTATTTACACAGAAATCGGATGCATAAAACATAATGTATTTATAATACAATGCACTAAAATTTGAGAGGGTGTTCTTTATTACATCTGAACACCCTGTATACTTTTTTCATAAGTGCCCCACAGACTTCGTCTCATTCGTGCGAACAGGACCGTACAGACCAAATCGCGTGAACCAAGAAAGGCAATGTATTTGAAACACATAGATTTTGCTCGACAGTGAAACCGTGCTGCCTTTTTCTCCACACACTGTATGTCTGGCGCATTCGTGCAGATATGTGCGACCCAATTCGCGCGAATTGAATGAAGTCTATGGGGCCCTTTAGCCAATCACAAAATTAAATTTATTTTGTATTTCCTCCTATTTAAATTTTAACTTGATACTAACATTTTATTTTTCTAACTTTATAATGCTGTACACTAACAAAAATTAAAATTTTTGGTTGATTACGAAAAAATATTTGGCAGATATTTGTGCAACTTCATTCAAAATCACAACATTGGCAACCCTTAGTTTAATTTTTTATTTCACAAATTTCTCCAAATTTTTTTTCGTTAAGAAAGTTCTCTTTATTATGGGTCTACATAGAAATCATCCCCTACAAAACGACGTGCCATGGTTGGAAATGTTCTCGTACAGAGGGTAGGCAACCAACTGTAAGAGTATATCAGCAAATTATAAAATCGATAGCGTCTTTGCCATTCATCAGAGGTGAGAGTATTTTGTCAAAAAAAATACCAAATTGTATTTTAAATACAAAATAGTATTATGTATTGTAATTAAAATACTTTTGTTATAACCCCAAAAATATTTTGTATTTCAAATACGTTAATAAAGTATTTTGTATTTTAAACAAATCTTCTAAAAGTAATTTAAATATTCTTGAGTATTTAAAATACTCGAAGTATTTAAAATACCCAAAATACGTACTAAAAACAAATACTTTTTGCTTGTTAGGAGTGGCGACTGGTACAACACATGGTAAAAAAAAATTATGCACCTGCACGCCTGGATTCAGCGCACTACTCTACATTCTGCAATGTGCGTTGTGTTATTGCTATTCTATCTACTACCTTTTACGTCACTATCATAACTAGTCAAGTCAATAGTCAATCATCAACATTAATTTCTTATACTATAGTAAAAGTTAGTATTAGTAGGCCGTTCTAAGAAAAATTAATCAAAAATGATAAGTGAATTAAATATTCAGCATCTCAGTAATCCAGATGAAAATTATTGTTTCCAGACTCTTGTCTAGTTTCTTTTTTAATATTTTGATGATCTTGAAATCGGGCTTGCCTTGCACATATATTACCTATATTGTTTTAAAGTCGCATCTTTTATGAGTTTCAGATTTAATATTTCACAAAAATATTTTAAATACAAGCGTTCTCTTATAGGTGGCGCCCTCTACAAGCAGCTTCAAAAGCAATGATATATTTAAATTTACCATCCCAAAAAACCCCTAGTTTTATGCGTACATTCAAATCTATTTGGAAATTCCTAAAAAATCGAAAAAAAAAATAAAAACACCCTGTATATCGAAAGCTAAGCATTTGTGGTCACACGTTTATAGGGAAACATTCTTATTTTGACTTCAAAAATACGCCACTAAATTCTTTGAACTGAATTTTGAATCACCCGATATTTAATATTCAACATATAATACACTGTTTTAAATACTAAGTAATTTATATTTAAAATACTTTGCCAAAGAAGTATTTTGTTTTTAAGTATTTGAAAATACTTTCGTACTAGTATTTTGTAATTTGTATTTTAAATAAATTTTGAAAGTATTTTGCCCAGCTTTGCCATTCATTAGTATCTTTGGGATGTTGTGAGAGCGACTTGTTTGGTAATACGTTAGGCAACACACTATACGCGGAGCTAATCTAGTCACATTCTTATATTTTACATCGTTTTATAACGTTTTTCTTTTGATTTAGATTCTTAGTGAGTGACGAAAAATATAAATTATCAGAATGTTTGTTGATCTTTCCTTTTTTCTAAGTTAAGGACCAGAATTTTAATGAATTTTGGAATTTTATTGTATATCTCAATTTGTCGTGTTTCATATTGTCTTATGCTGTTCGTCAATGTTGATAAAGCTTCAACTTCAACAATTTTCCGTCAACAATCACTTGCCAAATCTTTTAATTTGTCATCAATCATTGATGTTTTGTGAATTACTTTGTCTATTCCCACTATATTAATCCTTTTATACCTTCATAAGATCTAGATACAGATATTACATTTGACAATTTAATGTTTGGGATTTTTATTATAAAAATGAAAAATATTGGTACTATTTTTTTTTGTGGAAAAACTTTATCACTTGTTATGGGTTTTTGATAAAAAATCTATAAATATAAACATAATTAGTGTTTTTGCTAATAAGATATTTAAAATGGCAAGTGGCTGATGTATCCATATCAGCGTAATTGTCTGTCATTATGCAAACTTGATCCAGACCTAATAGGCTTTTACTTCTTTCACATGACTCCTTTATATGATAAAATTTAGTTAAAACCAACTAATACATATGATTTTCTGTATTTCAGTAATTTTATCAAGCATTCCAAGTTGTTAATTTTTGCGTCCTAACTCTTCGTCATTTATTTCCTTACCTTGTCTCGTTTTCAGAACTGAGTTAAGTTTATGTTTCTTCAATTTGTATATTTATACTGCCATATTTGAAACCAAAACTAATCCATCCAATTCCATTTAAAGACGCCTTGAAGGAAATATAGTAATAATTAAAATCTTGTCAATTTTATTCAACATACATATAGACAAGCTATAAAACTGTAAGTACCTATTCATTGATGAGTGAATGTATGTGATTCTGCAATTAAACTTAAATTGTGTTATGGAAGAATAGTTTGTGACGTAACTTTATGATCAGTGTGTAGTAGTGGGAAAGCAGCACATACTAAATTTAATTTTGAATGTAACTTGCATGAGTCACAAACTAATTAACATAGAAAGGTGTTGAAGATTAATGCACTTCGTACAGATTGAGGTTAAGACTAGTGAGCACGTTCAGTTTAACTGATCTACCCACTTTCAATTAATTGACTTTTTCGTAATTTCTGAGTTTGGTCACATTACATTAAAATGAGAAATACAAAATCGTGGAAAGTCAATGCATATAAATAAGTATTATAGGGTGTCCGCAAACTGAACCGACAAACGAAGACAGCAAATTCTAGGGATAATTTCATATCGATTTGACATAAATCGTCTTATCCAAAAGGATTGTCGCGCTCTTTGAAGATCGATGGTTCATTGCTATATTTTTTAATTGTTCAGATCGCTGTTTATCTAGAAAGATCGAACTTATACGGACAGCCTTTTGACGTAAAAATAATCCTTTAATTGTAACCATAGGCGTGACACTTGGGAGGGTCAACTGATATTTTTAATTATATTTTTTTCTTTGACCTTTTGGTATCTTTAATATCAAAATTAGAAACTTCAGAGCATTTTAGATTAACAAGGTGCTCTTGTCTTGAGTGGCTTGGGTGTACCGATTGTGAGAAAAATCTGAAATGTTTTTTTTTTTGTGTTTTAAGACTAATTTGGTAACAAATTCTGGATTTTTCCAATAAAGCTTGTCACACTTCATTCGGATAATAAACTATCCTTTTCATCCATAAAAATGCATATTTACACCTTACAATAAGCACGCACCATAATGGTTGATCCTGCTCTACGCCTCATATTTCGCTGTCTGTCCGAGGTTGCTTATTATTAAGTAGTGCACTAATATTTAATTTTAAGAAATAGATTTATTTCCTAAAGTAAGTGTTTGAAATGACATGATTCATTTGAATAAAATTAATATTACGTGTTTAAATATTCTTCGAAAATAGTAGAAAGTAAATATTTTGCAACTAAGAAAAATAAATTTTAAAATTATCACAATCAACACAATCCGTGATATATTCTCATTATAACAAAATTTTGGAAAATAATTATGGATATACACAAATATAATATAAAATTTGGGAATAGATGTCATGAAAAAAAATTTGTAAAATCCTTATAGTTTCCGAGGAAAAAATTATTGAAATTGTAGTATTTACAACCCTTACATCGCTGGGCTTCTGGTGTTGTCTCTAGCGCTGTTCACGTTGTGCGCTATAAGCAATGCGCTCTCTCTCCACGTGGCTCCAGGCGATTCCGAATAATGTTTTTCAAGTGTCAAAAATGGCTTACGCATATAGTTGATGGATATCGTTTTAATTTATGGTGAAGCAAGACAACATTTGTGTTATGGTGAAGCAAAACACATTTCTTTTAGCTGTTAGAAACTGGGTAAGACGGACCTAAATGTGTTTACACGTCGGTGGGAAAATTTTGAACAGTTGTTGTAACATCAGGTATGTCAAATTATTTTATTAGTTAAAACCACAAATTAATTTTATTAATTAATAACAATAGCAGCAAAAACAATTGAATTTGTGATATAATATGGGTGTTACAAAATTTTATTTAATTCTTCTCTTGGGAAAGATATTCTTTCAGTTTTTTGTCCGTTCATTTTTTATTACATTTTCATGCTTTGCCTTGCGCTAGGTCAGGTTTTACAGTGGACCAGTTTCCAGTGCCTTGCAGAAGTGTATTTGTAAATCATTTTCGAACTGCTCTTTTTGATTTTTTTACAAAATTATTTGTAAGAGTAGTCTGCACCTACATTCAATTTTTTTTTTGTTCTGAATCACCCTGTATAACAATAAATATTGCAAACTAAAGCTCTCTACTAGTTTCAAGCAAGACTTTTCCTCAATGCATTATTCATAGCAAAGTGGGGTCTGTATGTCCTGAATCAGCCTCTGTCATGTACGATTTACTCCCGGACCATACTACTGAGGTAAACATGGTTATGTTACATTTTGAAAAAAACATATTAGTGATCTATTCAATAAAAGCTCTAGTAATGGGTGTTTTTTTGCGTCCATTGATTCGACATCTACTGATTGTCAAACGGATGTCACTCAAAGGTCCGAATGGCATGGGTTGTGGACAATTGGCGCACCTCTGTCCCTCACAATCGAGCCGGCCGCCGCCGCCACATGTAATTTCGCCTCAAAATTAACAAATTAATACGCCGTGTTCCCGTGCACTTGCATAACGATAAACAACAATAAACCGCGCCGATTTGCCGCTGCAGTTCAAGGTCACCGTCCCGTACCTACTACTACAGCTCTGGAGCCGACCCGTAAAGCAATCTGCCCGTCGCAGAATCCCACAACCCGCGTACAAAGGAACCCTGGGGCCGCCAGTCATTATTCTCGCTGCTGGAACCGACAGAACCATCAGTACCACACACACAACTTGTTGCCTGCCTGCTGGTGCAACCGACCTCCGCTTCTCGTGGAACAGTTCTTCGCGTCCGTCGTGATTTTTCACAGACTGTGATGGAAACTCTGTGATATCGTCGAATTTTTGGTGCCGCATTCGCGTTGAGTATAGTTCCGGGGATTTTGTTTAGTGTAAGTTAGATCGAAGGTCGCGTATAAATAAAAATTGTTTGTCATTGTGGTGGATTTTTTGCAATTGTTACAGTGAGTGGCTCGCCCGGCCTGATATTGGATTACCTTTCTTGAACGCCTTCTGGAAGACACCGTTTTCGCTCAATCAAAATGGTAAGATTTGAAATGTTGGCCTATGGAGATGTTGATCTATATATAATTTATTAATCGTTTGTCTGGAATATGTATTTGTTGATGTCATGGTTCAAGAATACGTGTATTATACATTCGCGGTGTTTTGGACAGATATCATTTACGTATTCCATTTTTACTTTGACTTTAAATGGTGGATGCAAAAAATATATTGTTTCACAAACTATACAACTTTTTCATAAGGAAGTGCCACATCTATTTGAAACAAGAAATAACGGTTATCTTTTTTGCGTTCTAAATGTTATATATCAAATATATTAGGTATGTATTAAAATTATATAAGTAAGGGTGAAGCTATGGTTAATACCTACTAAACTAATCAATACTAATTACGTAATGTGGTCATTTGCACCTATTGACGACATAAATAATTTTTTTAATCAGTATTTTTCTTAAGAAATTATTTTATATTTTGTGTTGAACAGTTAAACTAATCTCTAGTAACGGAAATTTACGTTATTGACAAAAAAAAAATAGGTCGATTTAACTCCTCGTTTAACTCTTTTCTGTTATGTACCTATTACTACTACTTCTTAAGGCTTAAGTACCTACATGTAAATATGACACATTTTTATTAACTGTACTAGTAATAGAAATATAACAACTTCAATAGGTATTTCATTAATGAATCATAAAAATCACTTGATTTCTACAGGGTGGTAAATTGTCTCCTACTATTTTCAAGACGGATTGTATATCAAAAAATAAGGGTACATTTTTATATAAACTTTTAACGTTTTTTCAAAAACGGCCAACTACATCTCTTTAAATGAGGATGGTACATGTCATGTTTTTTTGCGATATCTTAAAATTACTTGGGAGATATTTTACTCACATTTTAAACTTAGATTTAGGGTATTTCGACATAAACTTATGCATTACTACTCCAAAATTATGAGTAAAAGGTTGTTTTCACACTCAACTTTCTTATTTTTATACATTTTACAAAAAAATAATTTCTAGATTAGTACAGATAAAAAAATACCTCTGTTTAACCTCGGTAAGTCCAACCATTTCAAGAAATTCAGGCTTAATTTAAATATGAGACTGTATTTGTCCTGGTATTTGTGAAATTTCGTAATATTGATAGCATATTCTCAGAACGTCACATTTCTGATAATTTCCAAGAAAATAAGTACCTACCTATTATAGATACTTTAGTTGTACTATCGCATAAAAAAATTTAAAAATTAGTTTAAGGTACCTAGTACATTCTTAGGTAAATATATTTTAGCAAAATTTCAAGAAAATATTTAAAAATAGCAATACCTACCTATATTATCCATGAAACATTTACCATTATTATTTTTTCAAACAATAATGCAACTAAGTACTTTTTGTAGAAAGAAATGTAGAATGTGAATGTGACTTATGACAGTCACCTTATAAAATTGCTCCTGACACAAGACTTTAAGTTTAAAATATGAATAATATGTCTAGAAAACCTCTCGAGATGCCCATAGCAAACAAATTATTTTCTCCTTTAAAGAAATATATTCTGTCATTATTTATTTTCAGGAAAAAGTTACTTTCCTAGAAATGTCAGGAAACAATTCAAAATATTCAAAGTTAAAAAGTCTTAAATAAAGCAAATAAAACAAAACTAACGCTCAATTGTTGCAAAGCCAGCTCAAATTCTTGCCACCACTTATTGATTTGAAGTATCTTTATAAGATTTGAAAAATTTTTTTGAGGACTTAAAAAATACTGCCTACTTAGTTCTTTTAAAAGTTATATTCAAAGCCATCACGATTTATCTGTTATTTCCAAAATTAATATAAATAACAAACATTACGTAAGCATTATCCGAGTCATTATCAAACTAGTGATATCTAAAGTTTTTATTATTCAAACTGTTTTTAATTCAAGTTATTTATTACAGAATGATATGAATGTTCCAGGAAATATACTCATATGCTAATTTTAAAACAATGCTTCATAATTCTGTAACTTTCATTTGTTTTGGATAAAACCACCGATACCTACATATTTACGAATCTTTCATTGTTTTACGTTGGCTTTCGATTAACTGACAATGAGTAAGAAATTATTTTTATCCCTTGCATTTTATGGATTACGAGTAAAATGCTCCTTCTTTCCAGCATTAAGCGACGCTAATGGTTATCATATTAATAAATCGTGTGTCATTTATCAATCCAAACTAAATTCATTATGCAATCAACGTCTCAAGAAAAAAAAACATGTAATTAAATCAACTTCGAAATTAGTTTTCGTTCGCCTTATCGGAAAGTTACGAAACTGAATAGGCTGAAGATTAAAGTGGAAATGTGCATATTCCAAATGAAATACTGCCCTCTAAGAAGGATGTGGCGCCCAATCTACATCCTGAAATAATAGAAAATATCCAAACATATGTCTGAGTTGTATATAGCACAGCTCTCTCAAAAACCATGACCCCACGATCACGTGTTTTGAATAACTTCGTCAGTAAGTCGAACAGAATAATACATTTCTGTGCTTGATCTCTACGATTTGAAAAATGACACGTATCAGTGAATTTATATTGAATAAACTGTTATTGTAACCAATCTAATAAATCATTCTAGTTTTGACAGGTCTACTACTGTTCAGTTGTCTGTTTTCATTACGGTTTCTTCAAGTAAATGTATATTTCTTCCTAGTGTCAATTTATCATGTCCAGTAAAGTGATTTTAATGATAACACACAAAAATAACATTATAGTCCAGTTAGATTCTAAATTGAATTAATAAAACTTTATTTACAGTATTAGAACCAAATTGTTGGAAATAATGAATCATTGAATTGGACTCCAGTTCAAAAACTCCCAAAACAGGATTAAAAAAAGTAGTTTTTGGTTCTGAAAATTGAAATTCAGTGCATGCGTCTAAAATTAACCGATTACTCATCCACTTTTTAGTTGGGATTCTGAAACCACTATGGAAATTAGGCATAGGTATATTTCATTAAACTGAGCACATTATTTGAAGGTCACCTGAATTACTATATTTATGTGTTTATAGAACTTATAAATTATTCATAATTTAAACATTAAAACGGAAAGCTATGCCATTAATTCATACGTGAAATTATTCTGTAACCATCCTCTTTCTATAAGATACCATAAATTATTTTTAATATTTAATTTCTCACTTCCTTATCACATTTTCCTTAAAAAATATGCTCATTTATTTTTCTTCACAGCCAGCTGCGTTACCACATATACATGTTACTTATTTTTGTTTACAGAATAGATAGGATTAAGTAGCCAGACACTATTACCTCCCGATTACAGATAAGAAAAGTGTAAACGATAAATGAATGTTCTTTGTTCATTATTTCAACCCGGAAATCGTTTCTATTTGTCATATCCATTCGCCTGTTTTTAGTTTTTAAAGCAGTTACTAATTATACGAACAAATTGGTTGACTAAACAGTACGTATTACATCATAAATAGGTATATTAGTTAAAGTTAATTCAGTGTAAGATATTTTTGTACTTACTTTCAGAAAGATTAATATCTATGAGAACTCCCGAACAGAGAAGTAAATAGGCCAGGAAAATAAGCTGGGAAATGACCATTTCGCGACTTTTTGTTTCGGCGTGCTGAATTTACCACTATAGATGATAATACTTTACAATACCACTAGTTTCCACAGTCATAAAAATGGGGGGAAGATTTTTCGTATTTAAAAGACCTACAAAACTAGCCTTCGAGCGTCAAAAAATATTGATTGGATCAGAAGATATAAACAGAAGAAATTTATTTATGACTTTTGAATTAAACATTTATAAACTGCGTTATTATTACCAGAACGTATTAGAATCGCATCCTCTCATTCCTTATCACTGTCTAATAACTCACACGAAATCTGGAATCAGTAAATTGAATAGTTTAGAACTTGTGGCCTTATAAACAAATTAACTAATTATTAGTGTGGACGATCCCGAGGATCTTCCACAATCGCACTGATTTTTTTCATCGTAGATTTCATGATAATACATTGAAAAATTCTCACAACATGCTTTATTTTGAGAAAAAATTAGTATATCCCTATGATTCTCACTTCAAAATTTCTCTCAGTCAACTTTTTAACCTTGTTAATTTTTTAATTATATTACCAGCATATCTAAACGTTTCAATATCTGCATTATTATTCTCTATAGTTAGCTTTACTATAAAGTCGTGTACAAAAATACGATTCTAACTAGTTCATCACCAGCTAAAACGATCTTCCGTCATCTGGTTATATTTAAACGTTTTTTTTTTACACAAACACATACGTCGCAATGCATCATTTATGCGATAACTTTGTTGAAATTATAAACATGTACAAACACCGCAAATTTTAATGCCAGCGTGATAAGAAATCCGCTTATTTCATATTAATTATACAAATTATCTCTTCGTTCTATAAAAAGCCTCAATTATTGCGTAATGTTTGCGTTGCTGGCTACTAATTAAATGGAAAAATTCTCGTCGTTCTTTCTAGGTATATGTTACATGGAATTTTGCGTGAAAGTCTACCGCTGTAGTTACAAAAGATTAATTAATTACGTAGAGTAACTAATATAGTTGTCGAATTTACTGTTTATATAAATTGTAATGGAAATTTATTTGAATTTGGCGGGAATACCGGCTGCCAGGTGTCAGATGTCATCTGTCAGTTTAGGAAACTGAAGATTGTTGTTTAATCTGGCTTGCTAGTTTACTTTGTTCATTATTTTTTGTAAGAGACGCAAGCAGTAATTATTATACCAATTATAAACTGTATTTTTAAATATTATTAATAATATTTAAATTGCATGTCAAAGTTGTTAGGTTATATCTGATAAAATTGCGAATTTTGTATTTTGTTAATATTCTTTGTTTCAGAGAGTTGCATATTGATGATTTTAATAACAAGACTGCAATTCGATGTAGTGTATATTGTAGGTATAGAGACATTAGTTGAAATGTTATTAAATTTATATATAATAT